TGAAGAAAGTGAATATACCTTCATAGCGCATTACACTATGTCACGAATATCTCAGATACTAAACAGCTTCCAGATTAAACACCTGCCGAAAGCAGTCAAGCTGGATTTGTTGCAGCTGTTTATTTGTCGACATTCTTTCAAGCTCTCATTGCTAGTAATAATCTGAATGTTTGGGTCTCATACAAATAGTCTTATATTTTAATTCAGTTCATTGTTTGTTTTCACAACGATTACTAACGATCTTTTCGCGCACTCTCAGCATTTTTTAAATATTTTGAGTTAAAAAATACAGAACCTGGTATTTGGGCAAAATTCAAAGCTGTGTGAAGTATATCAGTAGTAACTCAAGCATTAGTAGGGCAAAACTTCAGGCACTTAAATCAGTCTCAGTGAAGAAGTAGGCGCTTCGTCATTACATGCTTATCAGATAGATTTTTTCGAGAAAATAGGCATTTGATTATAATGACTAATCTTTTTCAAGGTCTTTTTGAATACTTTACCGAAAACTTGAATTAGAAAACCACCCTGAAAACTTTGTGCGCTAGTACATATTATAGGGCTTCTTCTAATACGAGGTTATATATGCACTGCGATGTCAGAAAGTCAAATTGTGACTCTTACTGTTCTGTTTCTTGCTCTTCTCAAGGACCCCTTAAAATATCTTCACGTAGTCCCCGTAACATTCCTAGGGATCGTTCAGAGAGCAGCAACCTTCTCTGTGGTGAAGACAGAAGTCGACTTGATTTTCTTTTGATATAATACTTACCGTGGCAGTTGTCCTTATGGTTAGCCTAAATATAAAATATATAACTAAATGTTACAAGTAGTTATGATTCTGCTTATTCTTACTATTCATCTAAATAAAAAAGAAGATTAATTTTTTTGAACAAATGTTCACTGGTAGTTTACAGAGTGACTCAAAAGTTCGACCGAAAAACAAACTTGAATATATTTTTAACAGTTTAAGCAATTTTCGTGAGCTTTGCATATTTTCTTTCTATATTTTTTGAAGCTTGATTTCATGTAAAATTTGTCTCTAATAACCTGCGTGTAAACAGCCTCTGCATAAAATATATGTTCTATTTGCTTTTACTTAAAGTTTTCAGAAGAGAATCAAAAGTAGTCAGCTAGAGTGAGAATTTCATACTATTTCTGCATATATATTACGAATCACTTGTGAGTTAAAGTTAATCTAGTAAGAGCGAATCTTCGATGGAAACCAGCACGAATGTTTGTACAAAGGACTAGTTTTAAAGGCCTAAGGAACCATGTTTACTCATTTTTCGGACACTAAGCTCGATTTGAAGATAATCGGACATCTTTTCGAATATATCCTTTGAACTTGGCTATTTGACTATAAAAAAAATACCGAAATAAATTGAAAAAGTCGTTTATGCCACTAAAAGTAAGTATTTTTGATGATGTACAATTTCTGAGCAGGTCATTTTGGTATAGCTTTTTCTTTCTACCTTTGTAGAGAATTTCATAGTGTATAAAATCATGGATTTCAATAAGTAATATCTCAGAACAGGCGCAATCTAAGAAACAGTTCTCCCAATGCCGTTCCCTAGATGAGATTACATTTTTCGAAATAACCAATTTTTTAAAACTGCGATATTTATAATAGAATAGATTGGGATACTTTTCAGCAATACGTCAGTAGCGAAGAATCTACAAATAAGCGTATAAGATAGCCTTCCTATAATTAAAATTGAAGCACTTTTAATCAATGTACAATATTCAATACATACAAAATTCTGTCCAAATCTCGTTTTTGGTCCCCAACGAAGCTTTGCTCTCACTGAATTAACTTTAACTCAGAAAAAAATTATGAATATAAGTTTAGAAAGAGCTCGAAATTATCATTCTAGCTGATTACTTTTGATTGTCTGATATCTACTTACAAATGTAACGCACGAAGTTCTTGTTCCCCAAAAAAATTAATTTCGATGCTGTTATTAATTTTATTTTTCATCTGAACTAGATATTTGAGGGATGCGTTGTAACAATTGTTGTCTATATGTTTATAAGAAAGCATGAACTCGTGCTACTTCAGCTCACCAAGAAACGTGACAACTTTGAGGCTACAAGGCACAGAAACTCCTTCTCTGTGAAATAAAATTGAGTATTTCTGCCTAGGTCTTCCCTTCTACTCGATTCTCTAGCATTTCACTTGAAACTTTGCTTTTTAAAAATTGTATAATAATTTCTATATCTTTATTGATTTATGAATCCGTGCACCTCGTACATCATTTTTGGAACTCTTACAAAAGTCTTAGACTTTAATCGAAATCACGTTTCCATTGTAATGTGAGCGCATTGAAGCCACCGGTATCAGTAACCCCAGTTAAATTCACTTGGTTCTTGATTTTGATTTTTTTTATGAAAGATAGCGCCAAAAAAGTAGCTCTTCGGTAAATCACTTATTCAATTCACAATTGAAAATGATATTTTTGAAAAAATTTATTAAAAAAATGAGAAAACCATTCAAATCATCAGATTTTTAAAGAACCATAGTCAACTGTCAGTTTTGATGAAAACTATAGGAGATGAGAATAATAAGATCAAAATTTTATACTATGTTTTTATATACCTTTTCGAAAACAAGAACTGTGTGCCTTATATTTGTAAATAGTTATTTTTAAACTTATCCGAAATAAATTTTACATGAAATCAAACTTTAATGAAATATAAGATGAAATTATACAAAGCTCAAGAAAATCGCTTCAATTGTTAAAAGAATATTCAAGTTTCTTTTTCAATTGAATTTCTGCGACAACGTTTAGACTCGAA